TTGTACATCTGAAGACACACTGCAAGTGACGCAGGAGAATTAAGTGAATTTAGTGTTGCAACGCAGGCAGTTTGTTTGTTTTAATCCAAATGAAACTGTGCATTAGAAAACTACTAAGTTAAGTGAAGTAAATTGCCAGAGATGTGCAGTTTGGAAATCAGAGGATTCGTCAAATAGCTGCAGATGCTAAATGTTAAATGCTAACACAAGTCCTGAACCTTTTGTCCATGTTGCCAGCGAAGCAGCGAATCCTTCTCATTTTCCATTCTTCTTCTTATTATTATGTCTTTCCATTGAATATTTTTGACATGCTTTTATTCGTCAAATAGCTGCATATTTAGGCTGCTCTGATTTTGATGGAAATCAAAGTTGAAATGAACTAATTCAACATCATATCTGTGCTGCCAGTTATACAGTTTGGGTGAATTTCATGGTTTTAAGTTGGTGTAGATAAGTTAAAGTGATGTCATTTTTTTATTATCATTATGTGGCAGAGATTTTCCTCCATGATGTATTAAATCCACATTTATTTCAGCCATAGTATGATTTGCATACTAAGTATTTTTCCGTTGTCTCATTTCAGTTTCACATAGTTTTGCTCTAAATCCTCTTCAGATTCAGCACCAGCCTGACGTGATGCAGCAACGTTTAGCAGTGAAGGGCGCTGGTTCACACTGGGTGCGACACTTCGCTTCTTTTAATGTTGTTCTGCATTTAAAATCTTTAGTGACGAAAAAGCACCCTAAAAAATGTCCGACTCAGCCGGCGCAGGTGGGAGCGGGCGAAGAACCCAGCATGACTGCTTGCAGTTCTATTTCAGTTTTGTGTATAAATCAGTTTGAAAACCATAAATTATTTTCCTTCCACTCATGGACAACTTTTCTGCTGCGTGTCACCAAACATCTAAATAAAATTAGTAAAAATACAGACATACACACAAGTAATTACACGGGTTTGTACTTGTAAAGTGACAGCTGTAGCTTCATAATAATCCCTTTGACTTAATGACAGTTTAGTAGATTAAAATGGGATAAATAAATGGAGACTTACTCCAGATGTTGACCACGACGCTTCCCACCAAAAGGAAGCTAATTATCCACAAACCCAACAGACTCCTGGAACAAGTTATTGATGTTTCCTCTTTTCTCTCTGCAAGACACAGAAAAATTCAATTATCAGAATTTTGCACTGACAGAATGGTTTCTTGCTTTTTAAAAGAAAGAAAAGGCTAAAGAAAACAGTAAATCTAGTTGTTTTAGGTGTAGGATTTCATTATTTTTACCGTAAAACAACACAGATTTAAGAAAAGAGGAAAATGGAAGTTCAGTGGAGAATATTTTTTGACCAAGTTTACCACTAACTTTTAATTACCCAAAAATAGGTTCAATAAGAAATCTAAATATGTTACAAAACATTTATAACAATCTGCTTTTCATCCAGTCTTTCACCAAAAACCACACAAACAAAATGCACATTTATATTTTTATTTTACCACAAACATCACAGATGAGAAACTCACCATTTGAAATTCTTGGAACATTTTCATAAATCTCTCCATATGAGTTTTTAGCCATCTTTAAGTCTCAAAGGTCTGCAGATAAATATGTTTTAATACTGACAGGTCTGTTGTTACGCTGGATCCTGATACTCTCAGCTCAGCACTGAAAGCTAAAGGCAACACACATTCGAGCAGTTTCTCACTTCGACCTCATCGGTTTTCACACCTTTTATTTTTGATAGGTGTGATTTTAGCTTGAGCAGCGAGGCCCAGAGCATCCGTCCCTCTGTGGCCTGGTAGGCAGAACCGTCTCGTCTACCAGCCTAAGGGCTCATATAGTCCACTTGGATAAAACTCCAGTCCGTTTGCATAGAAAGTCCGGTTCTGAACTCTGGTCTACCTTCAAACCGGGGATTGTGAGCAAGTTTAGTTTGGTTGAAGTGAACTGAGCTGAGGTTCAAATGCATATCTGATCACCATGGTGAAATAAACCCAATAAGGTCTCATCTGCTAGTCGTATTGTTACACGTTTTATCGAAGTTCTTTATGGTCCCACTAAGATGAAACTATTTGGGTTGCATATACAAGGTTGGAAGTTCTTTCCCACAGCTGCATGGGAACCAGACCATTTCCCGCGCTTTGGATCCTTCATCTTTGCATAAGTCTCTGCCTGGCAGAGCTTTTCATCCAGACTTGTTTGATTATTGATCGTTTTATGAGCTCTCTGGGTTGTTCAATACATGAATAAACCTGATTGAGTTATTTTACCTGAACGGTGCTTGTAAATAGATTTTTTTCCATGACAAAGCCAACCGGACCAGAGACCTCTTCAAGAGCAGAAAATGGCAACAGTGTAGGGCATTCTGGGTAAATACAACCACAACAAACCTGAGAGCCGAGTGAGAGAAATGACTCAGCAAAAACAAAAGATAAATCCTCCAACCACTAAAACGCTGCTCTGGTTTTATGTTTCATGAAGTAGAAAGTAAAATGTTTAAAGGTTTGTACTCAAGTCCAGAGGAGCCCAACAGTCACACACACACACACACACACACACACACCCACACACACACGCACGCACACACACACACACCCACACACCCATACACACACACACACACACACGCCCACACACAGACACTGAAACTCTGAAAACTGAAAAGTTAAATATTTCACCTTTGGCACAATATAATTAGAAAACACTAAATGCTTATTTTTATAATTATCTCTTCATGTCTTAATGTGGCTTCAGATGAAACATTTTGAATTTCTCTTTATAATAAATATACATGTACAAACATTTGAAGTATTTTACTTCATAAAACAATTAAGAAAAGCTGAAGTATCTTATTATTTGATGTTTTCATCTCGCCGCCAGGAGGACAGAAACGATTTCTAAACACAACGACCCAAAATGAGAGTCTGGATCTTCTTCACCTGTCATGAAAGATGCAAAATCTCACAACAAGCTCAAACAGCAGCAGCCAGTTTGTTAAAAATAAAGCAAGAATTTAAAAAAAAAAAAAAAAAAGCTGATTTGAAGACTAAAAAGCTTACTTTTCCTTCAATTCTCCATCCTTGAATTTATATGATTATAAAACACATAGAAAAATTGAATCCTTTTCATTGTTTCTTTTAAATCATTACATTTTCTAAATCCCTTCTCGTACTGCGAATTTATAATAATGTCGTAATATTGTTGTTTTATATTATACATGAGTAATAACAATAATCAGAATTTAATTTTTATATTATTAGTAGCATTATTATAGAAATAAGAACAATCATAAGAGTAATTAATTATTTTTACATTTTGCATATTTAACTCACTCCTGCAGCATTAATGTTGCCACAAGATTATTTCTGAACAACACTCGTTTATTTTGTGTGACATGTTTAGGAGAAATAAAGACAAAAGAAAACACTGAAGTGAATTGTGATTATTATGCATCATCTGTAACATCAAATTACAAACAAATCAAACAAAGAAAAATTAAGTTCTGTTCTTAAACTGAGACACAAAACACCCTGCATGCTACACTGTGCTGTAGTATGCAGGACAGGATTTCTGCAAGACGCCTGCACGGATTTTAACATGTAAATAAAAAGAAAATAAATAAAAAGAAAACAAGAATCTCACCATGGACTGTAATAATGACAACTGCCACCAGGGGGAGACAAAAACGAGTAGCCGCAGGAAACGAGGCTCTGCAGCAGCTTCAGCTTCTGATTAGAAAACAGGAAAATGACTCAACAGTTCAACTACAGGATGATTATATTTACATGGAAATCTTTTTTTACATGTGAATACTTTAAATATCATGCAAGTTAAAACCCTGAAGTTATTAAAGTACATCAGATGTCTGAAAAAAACAGTTGAGGATATTTCCATTTTGCTTCATCCAACTTCATCAGTTTTTATTTTTAAATAAAACAAACTTACTTGGAACAACAACCTCAGGTTTTCTGTGCTGAACTTCAGCACAAAATCTATTTTTGAGAGGTGTTTTAATCTAGAGCCTTTTTACAGATAAAGAAACAAACTTACTTACTTACTAGCAATGCAGCTGTTTTCAATACTAATAATAATCTGCTGGGAAAACTGCACAAATAAATGAATTACTCTGAATAATTTGTGTTTTTCTTCTTCATTATGTTATTCCTGTTATTTCTCTGAATGCCATCAAAAACATTTCATGAGAAGAAAATTCAATTATTCTAACTTTTTGGACATTAGTGTATAAATTTGAAAATTGAATTATAGAAAATCCACAGTAAACTCAAACAGCATCAAGTTCTTATCTGAGAAAAAAATCACTACAGTTTTTTGCTTTGTAGTTATAAAAATATGAGGTTTTATAGAAAACAACTTCATAAACTATATAAAGTTGCTTTGTAAAAGCAAATTCATGTTATCACTTTCATAAAGAAACTATAAAATCCACTTTTCAAACTATTGAGCTAAACTTAGAAAAGTCTGAGCAAAGATTCCCAGTCTGCTTTCAATCAGTTTTTCAATTTATTATGAGGAATTCAACCAAACTGACATCTTTCTGCAAAGAGTTTTAATAGATGAATATATGGAAGGATCTTCTGTAGAGGTCTGTGCTGCAGCACATCTAAAGAAGCCTCTGACCACCAACCAATTAGAACTTAAAAGAAAGATGAAATGGAAGAAAGTAGTTTAATGTAATGAAGGTGATTATTACAATCCTCTCTGCAGAGAGAATCATCATGAGGTCTGTAAAATGGTCACATCTCTGCAGACCCCCCACATCCTGGACACAAACCGTTTTTCCCTTCAGGCCAGCGTCACCAGAAACAGCTTCTTCCCTCCCAGTTGGTCTCTGATGAACATTTCGTCTAAATTTCCCTCTTTGGTTTCATAACTTTGTCTGAAAAGCAGAAGTGAACATCCTGTCTCCACTCAGAGCTTGAAAACACTCAGACTGAAGCGTCTCTGCGGAGATTTAACTTTATCTGACTCCAGGATTAAACGGTTTTTAATCATGGAGAAGAACTGAACTATGCAAACGTGACTTTTAAGACTAATGGTGTCTCCACACAGATCGGCTCAGGTAAGATTGGTTTTATATTCGTTCAACACAGCAGTGACTAACGTTTAAAATAACAGCTGAAGAGAGAACACTGCTATTTTATCATCTATTGAGTTTTACAACTAAACTTCTTATTAGGATGAACACAAACATCTTCTGTTGATTAAAAGGCAGAAATAATTATTTACTGGTCACCTCCCAGTAAAGCTCAACTGGTTTTATTGGGAGCTATAATTGTCTCTCCAGTCTGAGCTCAGCGAATGCATCATTACTGAGTCATTTATTTCCTTCTCATTTCTGTCTGCAGAAACATGAGCAGCAGAAAAACACATTATTCAACACAGAACAAGAAAAGCATTTATTTTCTCCTGATATAATCCTCATAAACAGAGCAAAACGTTTTTCTTTGTAGTAACAGTTAATATAACAAGATCACTTCTGACATCATTACCTGCATAACTTCAGGTGCTGCAGGTAATTCGCCATGATGATCTCTGATCGCCACCTGCAGATTCAGAGGAGCTCCTCTCCGTGTCAGGATCAACACAGATGAAAGATTCTGCAAAAATGTCCACATTTTTCAAGAACATTTCTGAATGAATGTCAAGATTGAATTTTAAACTGAATGTTAGCTCAGAATGGAGCTCAGAAATTTTTATGTTTTTTTCGACAATGTCTGAGGTTAATCTCAAAATTTCAGTTTTTTGGCAGAAATTTGATCCTTTTTTTATCTACACATTTATATTTTGGCGGTAATAAACCTTTGGTTCCATCGGCTCATTCTCGTCTTTCTCTAAATCATTTTAGAAATTTGCCTTTTTGCACATTTCGCAGCTCAGACTGACACCTTTACAGAAGCGTCACACCTCTTGAAACCGTCATTTCTCCATGGCAGGTAGAAACAAATGGCTCGTCATTCATGTGAGGTTTTCAACCCGCAGCACACTGGATGAACGATGGCAGCTCCTCTTTCTGTTCCAAAAATAACTGGAGTTATTTCTCATCACATCTGGATTCTGCCCACTCACTGCCTTCTCACTGATATTTCAAATTACATTGATTTATTAGTTTATTGATTTTTTCCCATACTTTATCATTCAGAAAGAAAAAGAAATTAAAGTTTTCCTTCAGAATGTATTGATCTGTATCCTTATTTCCCAAAAAAATCTTATTTTCTAGTTAAAAATGAGCAGCTTTAAGAGTAAAAGGGGTCGGACATTGGCTGGAAGAGAATCAAATGACACTGGGAAGCGATTTTCAACAAAAGACTGAAATTTAACATAAACCACAGCAAAGCTTTAGCCACAGTCAGAATGTTCTTCCTTTAAAGTTATTTTCTACATTTCACATCAGTTATTAATCCCTAAAACAAACACCGTGTTTTTTAGGTTTTAGAGAACAAAAAATATGTAAATGACAGAAAAATTTAAACATTTTAAAACAAAAAGTCAAACATTTATATATTATTGTTTTGTTTTCTGTTTGTTTGTTTTCTTAGAAAAATCGAGCTTCAAAGAAATAATTTACGATGAGGTGAAGACAGAGGAGGAGACGCAGGAAACACACCCGATCATAACAGGTCCCCGTGTGACGTCACTTCCATGAACTGGCAGCCATTTTGGCAGGCGGTTGCTATGAAAACAATAAATAAGACAAGTTTAGCTCTCGCCTCTCCTTTCTAAACATCCGAGTGCATTACAACTGTTGAGACGTTTTCCCACCTCTGTGTCACACGAGGATAAACTCAGTGATGTTTACTGGAACAGTTACTGGCAAAGTTAGCTTAGCTAATGCAGCGTTTACCTGCTAGCATGTAGCCGACCACACAAAGAGTTCCCACATCAAATGTGACTATTTGCTTTTACTTGAGCAACTTTTTAAAAATGTACGGTTAGGAGTACTTTTACTACTCTGTACTTTTTACTTTTACTTGAAGTAGTGCTATAGTACTAGAGTATAATTTTTGGCTTCTGTGTGTAAATCCTTTAGAAATGCGATGAATGTCCACTATTAACTTCTTTATATACTTTAAAGAAGATATATATTTTATATCTTCTTTTCTAATGGGTCGATCCCAACAGCAGCCGTTTTGTTGATGTATATTTCTCTTGCACATTGGTCCAGAGTGTTGATACTTTCTTTTTGTCGTCTCAATTATTCAGTTTTGTTTGCTTTGCCTACCAAAATGGCGCGGATCACTTCCAGTTCAGACTTGCAGGAACTATGTATTAAAACTGAAAGATTTTGACTTTTTATTGATCTGTTTTCATAGAAAATGAAAAGAGAGCTCGGTTTCTCCCTCTGCTGTTTTTGGGGATGATCTGCTTCATCCTGCTCCTGGCCATCATCGTCCTCAGTGTCTGTAAGTCTGTTTGTTTCTCTGAGCTTCTACCTGTGCAGGTAAAACATTTTAAACACCTGACTGCAGTCACACACGGCAGAGGAGACAGATGGGCGTTTTAGCAGAGCAGAGTCTGCAACTGGAGGCGGTGAGAGCAGCTTTACAGAGACGAACAGCAGATCTGCACCGAGAGAGAAACCGACTCAACTGGACTCTGGACGTCATCCTCGATTACGACAACTTCCCTGCTGCTGAACGCTGCCCACAGAAACGTTAGAAGATACTGGTTTAATAGACCATTACTGCTAAATGTTTTACAGCCTTTAGGCATCTGGAGCTTTTATTTATGTTTTACAGAGTGTAAGCCTTGCCCGAACGACTGGGCGATGTTTCAGTCAAACTGTTACCTGTTTACAAAAGACGAGTTCAGCAAGAACTGGAAAACCGGGAGCAAGCCAGGAGTTTTGTGTGAAAGAGAAAGCAAAGCTGGCGGTGATCGACAGCCAGGAGGAGCAGGTAAAGATTTTAACAAACACATCCAACGTTTTTTTAACTGTTACATTTTTCATTATTTCTATATGGGATGTCGTTTTAACGTTACACAGTAAAAAATAACAGCAATGCTTTGATTTAACAGAGAAAAAATGTTTTTCATAAGTCAGATTTTCATCCAGTTTCTCCTACATCTATAAATGTAAGATTTTCAAACTAAAATATTAAATTTACAAGCTATTATATTTAGCTTTCAATTTCGATATTTAGTGAGGAAGCTAAATGTTTTGTTCCCCAAAAAAATTTCAGACATGACCTAAATTTTTAGTTTTCTAATTAAATATCTAACTCTGAATTAAATATTTATTTTGCCAACCTAATATTTTAGTTTCAATCTAAATATTTAGCTGATATGTAAACAAGTTTGCCGATAAGCGGAAGTGAAATATCAAAATAAAACCTTGGTTATGTTGACCTGTACAAAATGTTTTTTTAAGTCGTAGAAACCAAGCTTTTATTTTGAAATTCCACTTCCGCTTATCGGTAAACTAATTTATTGTCCATCTCAGTTAGACCTAAATATTTAGCAATGACATGAATATTTAGCAAGGAACCTAGATGTTTCGTTTGCATGCTAAATATTTAGTTTGAAAATTAAGCTATACATTAATTTAGTTTAATTATATATTTATTATAAAATGTATAAATTGTATATTTACAGATTATATAATTTAGCCCTAAATATTCAGCTAGCATGCTAAATAAATAGGTGTGAGCTACATATTTAGTTTAAAATATTTAGTTTGGAAATTAAATGTTTACTTAGAAAAAAGCATTTAGTTTTGAACTAAATATTCAGCTAGCAAATCAAATGTTTAATTTGGATCTAAATTTTTAGCTACAAAATAAATATTTAATAGTTTAAACATTTTGTTGGAAACTAAATATTGAGCTTCCTATAAATATTTAATTTTTGAATTAAATGTTTAGTTTAGAACTCTGAAATTTATAAATGTAGGAATTATGTGGTAAAAATATGATTTTGCTGATAATTTTTTTACTGTGTAACTTTACAAACGGCACAGTTTTGTTTTGTTTTTTAAGATTTTTAATCTCCTTTCATTACAAATGCAGGAATTTATAAACAACAAAACAGAAAAATACAACGACAATAATCACGGCTACTGGATCGGGTTGAAGAAAGACAAGGAGGACGTGTGGACGTGGGCAGACGGCCGGAACCTCTCTGTGACGTAAGCGTCAACGCAAACACAAGAAAAACTTCTGCATTTCCCAATTTCCTCCTTTCACCTCCGGGAGCCACTGAAATATCCTCAGCAGTTTCATAAGCAGGAGGTGAAAAGTGGAGGTGATGAAATCGTCACTCATCTCCTCCTGCTTCACCGTGAAAATTAAAGACCTCTAAGAAAATTGTTGCTTAAAACCTTTTGAAAATGGTTGCACAGGATAATTTGGCTCCTCAGTGTTGTTGTCAGTGAGGTAAAAATATTTTCTCCAAACTCTAAATCAGAAAATTAATCAACTTCAAACAATTTCAGTTAATTTATACCAATTTATTTATTTTCTTTTTTACAAAATTAATTTGATAGTTTGGTTATTTTTCTTTTAATCTAATGGATTAAAAGGCTTTTGGTTGATTATTGGTTTCAGCCCTGATAATTGTTCATTCAAATGGCATAAAGAGATGCAGCATTACAGAAGGTATCTCTTCTGATTCGCTGGCTAAAACAAGCAGCCGGTTGAAGAGTTTCGGGTTTGAGCAGAACCGGAGTGACTCCATGTGTTTTCACTCTTCAGCTTCTGGTCGACGGAAGACGCTGCGAATCGACTCTCCTGTAGTTTAATCAACCCGCATCTCAACCGTTCCTCCAACTGGGCCAAAAGCAGCTGCTACATGAAGAACCGCTGGATCTGTGAGACCAGAGTCCTGATCCGACCCGATTAGGATCCACACACTGAACCCATATTTATGACTATTTAAAACTTAAGCTGTTAAAATTTTCTGTTTCCAGTTTGTGTTCGTTATTATTGTGGATGTTATTTAAAAGGATCTGATTAAACGCCTCAGACAGGATCTCTGGATTTACTTCTGTTAACCATAAATCTCATTTCTGTGCATAATGGCACATGATTTACTCTGAGAAGATGAAGCTCCACTGCTTCCTGCACACACTGATGATGTGTTTTACATTAGCTCTGCATGTTTTCCATCCTAACAGGATATCTGATGCTAAACGTTTCGTGTTCTCTGCCTGAGGAAGATCTGATGAAATATGTTCTGGCTGCTCATTTTGTTCATGTTCGTAAAATAAACAATTACATTTTCTAAAACGTTTCTGAATTTACCTCATCATCTTTTCGCACAGGGATGTCCAAACTGAGGCTCAGGGACCATTTGCGGCCCTCTAGCGGATTTTGTTTGGCCCCTTGGTCCACAATTCAAGAATATACCAATAATTTCTGATTTTGCAAATAAAATCTTATTAAAACATGCATGTATTTAGGTGTAAGACAAAGTTTTATTCTTTAATTAAAAATGTTTTTAAAAAATCCTTTTAAAAAGTTGCAAAAATATTAACCAGTCAATTAAAACAGCAACTGTGCAAGATCCTGTTTTTGTTTTGGATTGATGATGATTTAGACACTTTTATGCAGCTGAAAATGTGACCAATGTTGTAATTTTGGTCTCCAATCAAACCGAAGTATCAGGTTTGAAATCAGCCTCAGGGTTTGTTGTCTGCAGCAGCTTTGCACATGTTGAAATGTGTCGGCTTGTTGTGTCACAGTGGTGAGTAAATATTTGTTAGAGAAGTTAATTAAGAGTGTTTCCTAGAACAGTTTGAGCAAGAAAATATCCACAAGGTGGTTATCAATAAGCATTAGACGCATGGGTTTTAAATTACGTGAAGAGGAAGAGGAACCAGCCTGAGCTGCAGCTGAAGCATTTAAAAGCTGTCAGGCATTTTTCTGATCAGTTTTCAGTTATTTTATGTGTGACAGATGGAGAACAACGGGGACGAAGTCTGCTATTCTACAGTCAATATCAAAAGTAGCAAACCTTCTCCGACAGGTAAGAGACCATTTCATGAGGTTTAGGAGGCAACATTGCTGTAGAAAGTTAAACTGGACTTTTATTACATCACATGTAAAAAGCCTTTATCATGTTTTATCAGTGAAATCTCTTATACAAAAGAAATCATTCAGTATTTGTGCCTTATAATTTGGATGAAGTGAATCATCTGCTGTTTCTGTGCTTCAGACACTCAGGAGGATCCAACCGTTTACTCTGAAGTGAATCTAAAGAAAACTTCTCCTGCTCAAACAAGTAGGTAAAACTATAATCCATCCGTCAATTACAGAGACGAGTTTACCGAGCAATGGAGGGAACCCAGGCTGCACAGGGAAAACATTAAAACTCCTGCAAAGTGACACCAGCCCACAACTTGCAGGATTTGTTACTAAATGTGCAAATAGTAGCAGTAACAGGACCTTTTAAGGATTTTTAATGTTGTGTGGATAAGAATTGATGTGAGCTACAGACAGACTACCTCAATTTCCTTATGGGATTAATAAAGTTTTATTATTAATATCAAGATTATACAATGAAAAAGAGGAACAAAAAGAAGAGGAAGAAGAAGTTAAAGAAAGGGTACAAAGTTACTGCCACAAAATGCAAAGTATTTAAACAAACTAAAAGTATGATGAGGTTGTCTGCTTTATTTTCATTGTAATTGTCTTTAGTTAATGTTTTGTGATTTCTTTATTTTGTAGTTGTGTGATTTGTTTTGCACTTCAGGGCCTCCATACAAAACATACACTGTGTCACGTTAGGTTTTAAAATGGATAAAATTAAATTAAAAAAGTAGAGTAAACATGTATCTCATAGGAAGATGAAGCATCTTCCTATGAAGGAAGGAATGTTAAAACCATCGTTTACGGTTAAAACATTTACTTGTGATCTTACTTTGAGTTAAAACGTTCAATCAAAGAGTTTAAATCTTATTAGCGAGTTCTTGAATGTAACACTTTTCCTACAGCAGACAAAAATAAACGCTGTTGAAAACCTCAATATTAACCATGTTAAAGTTATTAATGTGCCTTTCATTGCTCCTGCCAGGCCAGGAGAAAGAGGGAACAGCGGCGCTCTGCCACTCTCGTCTGACGCTGGTGTGTTTGGGGATTCTCTGTGTCCTGCTGGTCGTGAGCATCACCATCATCGTCTACAGTCAGTTTCACCTCAATAAAAAATAAACCTCATTTAGCTTCCTGTACAAAGCATGTTCAGGGCTTATGCGTTTAGTTTTTCACTAAAAATGATGCTGCATAAGTAAAGACTTAAGACTGAAATCAAGTAAAAAAACATTTGCAAACAACAAAAAATGCAATGTGTAGATATCCGTACTAATATGATAAATAATGTAATTCAAGTATATCATCACGGGGCAACAGTAGCTGTGTTTACATTACATAAATAAAAAATTGCTTAATGGAAACAGAAACTTAGATTAAAATGTTTTGGGTCTTTTTGGTCATATATTAATAGAGGCATTTTGCAAAACTGCAATGATGTTACTACTGGCGGAAACAACAAAGAAAGTGGTAGGATGATGGTTTGTTTTTATTTGCTTGCTTGTTTGACAGCTGGCTCCACCAGAGCTGTAATAGGATTATAATTCATAAAAAGTTTGATATGTCAATCAAACAAATCCAAAGTTCTCTCCCCAAATCGTAGTTGCTGCCAAGCATAAGGAGTTTGTGTCTCCAGCGCCTAAATAAGACGCCAACGTCTCCTCTGATGGCTGATAAATGAACATATCTCATTTATTTGTTTACATTTACTGCTGCCGTAATTTTTAATAACTTATTGGGTGAGCAGGCTTATTCATGTGATTTTAATTTAAATCTTATTTAATGGAAATAGTGCAAACTGCGAAATTTGATATTAACAGCAAAGATTTGCACACATTTATATTGGAAACGCAGCTACAGGGGTAAAGAGAAATGTTTTGCACTATGAAAGAAAGTTGGAGTACCTGGAGAATATCCACACAAACATGAGGAGAACCTGCTACCTTCGCCTTGTTTTCAGCTGGCGCGTTTCTGATCCAAATAATCCACACAAAGACTAACAGTGAACTTCACCTTCTCTTTGAGCAGATTTCAGCTCGGCTTTACACTTATAACTATTGAAAAAAGCCTGGATGGAGCCAAGCTGAATACGTCACTACGTTTTCTTCCTGACCTCCTGTCACGCAACACATTTCATATGAAGTTTCAGTTACTTCCACTAGATGGCGGTGTTGCACAAAAATAAAAGAAAGTTTTATTGTTCAGAAAATATCTAAATATACAAAAAGTACACGATAATCCTTCCTGCACAATAATGAACAATATTACAAAACTACATTTTTGGCTCTTACAGACTTTATGTTGGGGTTCAAACTCTGGAATTGCTTCAGCTAAATCAAATACAGTTAAATCAAATATGAACTGTCTCCGCCACCTTTTCTTATAAAGCAAGACATTTTCTTAAAACAGATAAACATATTGTTGCTTTGTCCTTTTGTCCTCTAAAGTTTATGTATTTACGGTTTATGACTGAACTTCAGTCTTGAAACCTAAAGTCAAATTCCTTGTTTGTTCCTTAATTTGGCCAATAAAGCCGATTGTCTTCTGATACTTAAAATACTTTCTGATGTCCTGAGAGAGAAATGTCATGTGTTGAAGCTTCTCTGATGCAGACAGACTTTCTGACTAATTTATGTTTTCACAGTGAGCACGAAGATGACCACGCAGCAGATAGAAATCAATAACCTAATCAAAGAAAAAGCGCGAGTGACTGAGGAAAATAAAATAATGCAGAACAAAAACAAGGAGCTGAGCCGAGAGAGAGACGACCTGAACAAGACTCTGGGATTCATCCAGAAGTTTGACAACTTTCCTGTAAAACTACTGTTCTAACAAAGGTGATTAATGTTCTAAACCAACTTTAAACTCTGGATCATTCTTACTTTAAAAACAAATCTTCGTTATAAACAGTTGTTTAAAACAAACCTGACTGTTAGGTAAAATCCCTTAAGCTCTCTTGTCAGTAAAATTCATTCATTAGCAACAGCTTTACAGTGAAGCTTTGATTTCAAACAATTTTTGTTTTTATTAGAAGTGAACTGAGGATAGAGCCCTGTGGTACGCCACTTTGAACTCAATGGGTAGATCAATCTAATCACCTTCTAATATTACAGAATTGCAATGTAGCCCTGATGTCTTTGCTTGATATCCTCATTTTTGTTTCTGTTTCATATTATTTTATCAAAGTTTTGATCCTTTCTGCTTTTTCCTCTTGTCTCATGTGTGCAGTGTGTAAACCGTGCCGGACAGACTGGATTCCCTTCCAGGGAAAATGCTACTTTTTTTTTTTGAACAATCATCTCCTTGGAAGACCTGGGAACAAAGTCGAGCGTTCTGTCAGGAAAAACAATCAGATTTGGTTGTTATTGATGATCTGGAGGAGCAGGTAAAATCTGACACCATTAATACACTAACACAAGAATTTAAAACAAATTGATGGGTTGAAATAAGAAGGTTTATAAAAATTTTAAATAATCTGCTGACAGAAATTTGTCAGCAATCACACCAAATACTACCATGACGAAGACCACGGATACTTGATAGGATTACGAGAAGTTAACAACACCTGGATCTGGGTGGATGGACATGTAGACACTCTTGGGTAAGAACTACGATCTAAAAATATACATACTTTGGTCAAATGTAAATATATTTTCCACAAACTTGTAAGAGTTAAATATACTGAGTGACAACAACTCCAGGATCTCCAGGACTTCTTCTAAACCAAACCTTGGTGGACTGTGAGATATGTTTGGGTTCATTGTTCTGTTTGGACGTCCAATGATGTCAAAGCTTACTGGGTTTCCTCAAGCTTCATTCGTCCTCAGACAGCAGGACAGTTTTCTCCCAGGATATCCTGATTGACTCCATCTTGACCTCCACACTCTGCAAGTTTCCAGAGGAAGGGAAGCGGCCCCAGAGCATCATTGGGTCCCCGCCGTGCTTCACAGTGGGCAGGGTGTTCTTTTCAGCATGAGCTTCAGACGTCTGATCAGACTCAAGAAGTTCAGAAAAACAAAACCGTTCTTCATCCTCCTAATATCGCTAAGAGCAAACTGCAGCTGGGTTTTCTTGTGCCTTTGGGTCAGTGGTGCTGAAGGTGATTGAGTTCAGGCATGGAGACCTTCAGTCCCTCAGTCTGTCCTGAGGATATTTTGCCAAAAACCTGATTTGTTTTTGGTGTAGAATATTTTTTGATGCAGCTGTAAAAACAAGAACATTTAAATGTGTACAATCTGATCTTCAATACATTTAATTCTTGTGTTTTCATTATTGTGATAAAATGTTTAGTTTCTGACAGTTGTTCAGTTTGATGTCAGTTCGCTGCTAAATGAGGTCCACTATTCTGTTTTAAAGGTTCTGGAACAAGAAGACGTTCAGTTTGTCACGTCCATTTGCACTTCTGATCCCAAACAGAAATCTGACAGAGAGCTGGGACAAAGCAGATGGGAAGTTTGAGAACAAATTCATCTGTGAGCATGAAGCTGTTATTTGGTCCATTTAACTCTTTTCTTTTAAACTCCAGAAATTTACACTATAAAAATACACATGCATTTTTTTTCACTCTGTCTGATGTGAAACCAAAATCAACTTTTCCTCTTGGTCTTTTATGATGACCAAAATATTTCCTGCAACCAGAATAATTAGGGAGATTTTTGTCAGGCAATCTTCATGTGGAGAATCAAACAGTATTCTTTACATTGTATGTAAACTTCTGGTTTCAACTGTAATTAATTTTTTTCATATATTTTTGATAAATGTCATAATTAAAAAATACAAAGCCATCTTTTAAGGGCTGTTAAAAGAATACTGAACATTTTTAAACTGTCTCCATTTCCTATAACCTCATATCGATGTTAAAATATTACATCTCATCAGGCTTGCTGTTGCTTCAGTAATAAATTACTATTTTTAAAATTATGCTTGGAATTTTTTTTTTTTTTTTTTTTGTCTACAACAGTAAAATAATTCCAGAGGTTCATCCTGTTTCTCTTCCTGCCAGCTGCTCTTTAACCCCAGGTATTATTTAACGGTTTTAGGCTCTGATTGGTTGTTTTGGTGCATTTAATCAGACATGAAGAGCCGTTTTTTTTTTCAATGATTATCTTTAGTTACATAGTGCAGCTTTAAATAAATTGCATCTTTATTGTTATATGGGGGTAATTTTGGAAACATGCAAGCAGGAGCTGATTCTACGGTTATTCACATGTGGTAGAAGCTTTTTGGATATTTAATTATCTTGAGCTCAAACTGCTTCAAATGAACGTGCGACTGCTCCCGACTCACTGCAAACTGTTGCAGTGGTGAATCATCACGGCAGCATGTGTGGTGACATGCTGCATTCATCCCGCTTCACACTCAGAGGTTTAACAAGAGGAAGAGGAAGAGGAAGCCGTCCAGCTGTCATGCTGAGATCGCTCCAGCAGCTGCTGGACATTTTTCTCATGTTTAAATCTTTACTATTTTCTGTGTGAAGAATGAAGAGCAAAGTGGATGACGACTGTTATTCTAATGTGAATATCAAAAATGGAAAACCTTCTTCAGAAAGTAAGTGACTCCACATAAATTACAGATTTCACAGAACATTCAAATGTGATGTGATGGGGATTGTTTTTATCTCAGCAAGCCAGGTTTACTTACAGCACATTTCAGCAACAATTCAAAGTTATTTACACAAAGACAACATAAAAAGGAGAGTAGTTACAATGCAGACATAACAAAGGAAAGTTAATATGATTTGGAGTACTGACTAAAATTAATGACGTTTCAGTTATAAGTAGAAGATTCAACTCTACACTGTATGTTTTTCACCTTGGTTGAAATTAACTCAGGGTTTCAACTTTTTTCACATTTTCTGGAAGTTTGTTCCAGATTAGTGAAGAATAAAAACGCAATGTGTGGTTCTGATTCTGGAGATGCAGAGTCGACCAGAACCTACAGACCCGAATGGTCTCATAGATGAGTCCCACCAGGCAGAACCATGAAGACACTCCTCCACTGCTCAGTTCGACTGAAGATTAACTCATGGATGAGTTTCTGTCTAGATGTAGCGGGGCCGTTTGTCTGAAGTTAAACGCATTCTTAAGATAAAAGCCTGACTTTGTAATCGTCTTTATGTGTCTGTGAATGCTCAGGTCATAATATCGCTAAAGGCAGATCAATGCTCTTATCACAAGTTCATAACTGAATGACTGTGCTGGCTCTTGATGAATCCTCCTTTGGTACAAAATATGACTTCATTTATTCAGCTGAAGAAAGTTTTGGCCAATCAACTCATGGATTTGTTCTGTGATCAGACTGAAGTCAGATTAAACATACAGAGTGGAAATCAGATTGAAACCACATCAGCAGCCATTCTGATCATCATCGTTTCTTTCAGGTCGAGCAGAAGAGGAAGCATCAACACTCTGTCTCTGCTCTGGTGCTGCTGTGTTTTTATGTTTTCTGCACTCATAGCTGCAAGAATTGTCCTCACCATGCAGAGTGAGTTCCACTTCAACAAAACAAACTCTATGTAGCTTCCTGTAGGTGGGAGGAGTTGTGACCATTAGTGAGGGACGCCGAAATGACGCCCTGAGTCAGTTTGGCTTAATGCTGCCCAGTTTAAACCACCGAGACGTTAAAGTTTCAGAAGAAGAGAAAACTGATATCCTGAAAGACAAACTGAAAATGTTGATGCTTCTCTGACATGGACAGATTCACTGACTTTCTGACTTGTTTTTTCTTGTTTGTACAGTTGATGTGATGATGATCAAGCAGCAGGAAACTATCAATAATGTTATCACAGAAAACGAGCGACTGATTGAAGAACAAAAAATGATGGAGAAACAGAACAAAGAGCTGAACAGGACACTGGGACTCATCCTGAAATTTGAAAACATTCCAGCAACAGACTTCATGGCTAATAAAGGTCATTAGTTTCCTACATTAACTTTAAATTTCTGGATTAGTTATTTTGTTTTTTTGTTTTTTTCAGTATGTGCTTATAAAGTGGTTTTCAAGACATACCTGATCATTGTTATCGCAGGTTTACTTTTACACCTGCCAGGGCAAACTGAGCGGAGACAAAAGGATTTATTAGCAACAGATTTATTGGCTTTTTTATGCCAAACAATATTGTTTTTATTTTGCGTGCAGAGTCCTGTGGTACGCCACTTCTAATTTGAATAGTAACCCTCACTTAATTGCCTTCCAATACTGTTGAATTTCAGTCCAATTCTGAAACTTTTGACTAATTTTGACGCCTGAAACATTACATATATTCACATATATATATTGTTTTTTTTCTGTTTGTTTATTTTATTTTGCCAAAGTTTCACTTCTTTCTGCTTTTTCCTCTTGTGTAATGACTCCAGAGTGGAAATTGTGCAAGAAAGATTGGATTCTCTTCCAGGGAAAATGCTACTTATTTTACAATATGCATCCTTGGCTGACCTGGACAAGAAGTCGAGCGTTCTGTCAGGACAAACATGCAGATTTGGTTGTTATTGATGATCTGGAGGAGCAGGTAAAATCTGACACCACCGATACACTAATATAAGAATTAGAAACAAATCTGGAAGGTTTTGTGTAAAACTGATGGCTTGACATAAGAAGGTTTATAAAAGATGATCTGCTAACAGGAATTTGTCAGCAATCACATCAAATTCTACTATGACAAACACCACGGATACTGGATGGGATTACAGCAAACTAACAACGTCTGGATCTGGGTTGACGGACGAAGAGACACTCTTGGGTAAGAATCAAACAAAACAAAAATGTAACTGAAACATTTTAGTTTCTTCCTCTATGAACCAGCACATTTCCAGGTGGCTTTTTCTGATAACATTATTGATAGTTTCCTGCTGCTTGATCATCATCACATCAACTGTACAAACAAGAAAAAAAACAAGTCAGAAAGTCAGTGAATCTGTCCATGTCAGAAGCATCAACATTTTCAGTTTGTCTTTCAGGATATCACAGTTTCTCTTCTTCTGAAACTTTAACGTCTCGGTGGGTTTAAACTGGGCAGCATTAAGCCAAACTGACTCAGGGCGTCATTTCGGCGTCCCTCACTAATGGTCACAACTCCTCCCACCTACAGGAAGCTACATAGAGTTTGTTTTGTTGAAGTGGAACTCACTCTGCATGGTGAGGACAATTCTTGCAGCTATGAGTGCAGAAAACATCATAAAACACAGCAGCACCAGAGAGCAGAGACAGAGTGTTGATGCTTCCTCTTCTGCTCGACCTGAAAGAAACGATGATGATCAGAATGGCTGCTGATGTGGTTTCAATCTGATTTCCACCACTAACATGTGCTGTATGTTTAATCCGACTTCAGTTGAATTCAGTTCAAAGTAAATGAAGAGTCAAAGTCCTCAGGATGGATTATTTAATCTCTGTTTGTGGGACGGGTCTGAATAGTTTTAGATGTAACTGTAAAAAAAACAATATTTAGATATTTACAATCCAGTCTTGCAAGCACAAGCAATTTTTGTTGATTTAATATGATACTGATGTTATCAGTTCGATATCAACAGCTGAGATTTTATTTTGTTCTGAGGTTCATTTCTGTTGTAAAGGTTCTGGGTGAAGGAGCATCTGTACTTCATCCAAAAGCGCTGCTGATCCCAGGGGATCAGGGGAAGAGAAAACCCACAGAAAGCTGAGGCAAAGCAGATGATGGTTTTGCAAACAAATTTATCTGTGAGCGTGAAGCTCTTTCCGGGTTCATGTAGCAGGATTCCTGCAGGAATAAAGCGTGTCATGGTTTTTTGGAATCCACAGGAATCTGGTTTCAGCTCTCTTCATGTTTTGGACCAAGTATAGATCCCTGATGTATGCCACTTCCAGAAATCTACTTTTCAATACTTTTATCACACACTGCTTTTCTTCAGTAACTTTTGGTATAAATTATGATGTCATATGCCCATCATAATTTATACATATATGTATAGAGATTATTTTACCATTGTGATTATGTTTGTGTTTCATTAGGAAGAGCTTATTAAAACTAGAACTTCTTCACATTAAGCAACATATTATTTTGCATTGATAGCCTTTAACTTTGCTCATTAGAGTAAATAATATTTTTAATGCAGTACACTTATAAAATGCTACACATTCAATCATTTCTCATGTATTTGTTGCTTTTGTAGTTATTATGTTTTAAGATTTGTATTTACTTTAGTAATGAACCATTGCACGCTTGTTTTTTTTGTCTAATAAAATATGAAAAATCATTTTGTTGGTTCATTATTTTGTCTCCCTTGTCGCCCTGCAGAAAATGATTTTACTACCATAAATTACACATTTGATCAGTTTTAGCTTTAAAAGGAATAACGGTCCGCCGCAGCCGGGACCGAAGAACGTTTGAAAAGAGCGCGTACGTTGTGTATATCCGCCGAGTGTGCAGCGAGTCCGACATTAAATAGAGCGACCGAGCGATCGGTTGACCTAGAGGGCGTAGAAGAGGCTGGTTTCTGTTTTCACAGGTGAGTCACGTGAAGAACTGAGAGATAGACATTGTTGTTAGAAGTGTG